TGACATGCCTTCCTCACTAACTTGAATCTTTTCTAGCTTTTGATTTAAAGTGAGAGACATGGGACACTTCCTTTTACTTGAACACTTAGATGCCATTGTAGGGTTATTAATTGGCCTAATTTCAATATTGTGTCTCAGGGAATAGGGAGTCCCAAGGAGAGGGTGAGAGATGGGAGAACAGCCAGTCGGTGGAGCAGTCAGAACACACACAACATTTATCAATTAAGTTCACTGGTCTTGTGTGGGCGCACTTCATGGCACCCCAGAACAATTACAACAGTAACATCCAAGATCACTGAACACAGATCACCATAACAAATACAATAATAATGAAAAAGTTTGAAATATTGCAAGAATCACCAAAATGTGGCACAGAGACACGAAGTGAGCAAATGCTGTTGGAAACATGGCACCGATAGACTTGCTTGACAGAAGATTACCACAAACCTTCAATTTGTAAAAAACACAACATCTGCGAAGCACAATAAAACAACATATGCCTGTATAGCAATTCAGGTATTTTTGAACAAGATACAAGCTGTGTCCATTAGGAACTTAGTTGCAACCAACAGAAACTGACTCTGGCAGAGTAGTCAGAAAAATAATTTACTGAAAGATGACTGGTTAGAACTCATAGAACCTCCAGTTAGGCTGAGGAATCAGGCTAGAAAAGTATCAGAAATAAGGCTGGACCACAGCCAAAAATCACAGAATGCTCCCAGTGCCACAGCTTTCAAAGCCCTCACCATCAGCTTCTGGACTCTGCCCTTGTGCCCCCTGGAAAGACACCACCGACACCACCACCGTCTATCACCAGAATGGACTGTCCACAGGCTCTGCTTCTCTAGAAAATAAATTTCTTCTAAATATATTTTCTTATTTTATGTTACTGGCATACAGAATATAAATTGATCCTATATCCAGCCATCTTGATAAATTCCCCTATTATTTCTAACAATTTGTCTGTTTATTCTTTTGGGTTTTCTGTGTCCTCCGAAAATAATGAAGCTCCACTCAAAGTCCAGGATAGTAATATCCAAGCAGCTGAGCCCAGGTCACACGCCTGAACTGGTAAAGCAAATATCTGGCATTTTTAGTTTCCACGGTAGGAGGCAGGCACTTCCTCCCACCAAGATTCATAAAATGGGGATTTCTCCAAATAGAAGAATGGAGCAGGAAAAACTATTTTTGCTAAAATCCGGAGTACACTGTAGGAAAATGTTTTGTCAGAAATGATAATGAGTGATAGAGATAATATAAATAATAATATACTATAATAAGAAATATTATAAATCACAAATAATAGCATAAATATATAACATAAAAAATAAGGAGGCATACAGACAACAAAAAATATACATATAAAAAAATTATAACTAAATTCTAAGTCAAAGTAAACACAAGAATGATACAATCTCAAAATATGAACACCACACTTGGACCACATCATGGATCTTTCAGAGCAACTCCTTCTGCACTTGCAGAATGCAGTCAGTGAACTTTCAAATAATGCATCAACAGTCAACTGTTCAAAACTTTGCATGTTCTATAAATGTCTCATCATATAGGCACAATGGACCCCTAAGGGAGAAATCCCCAGAGAGGAACAAAGAACAAAAATAAAGCTAATAATTACTTTTCTGTCTCTCCTCTATTCCCCAAGGGGCATTTTATGGTCCCTCCCTTCAAGAAAAAAAGAATATGAAGAACAGAAAGTCAAACAGGCACGAAAAGAGTATGATAGCCTTTACTGTCTATGTGTATTCTTCTCCAGTTCTTTTTCCTTCTTAATTTTCTCCTCATATGTTAAAGTGGACCAGAGATAATTCATACCTTTACAAAAACTGAAAATGTTTGCAAAAGATAGATTTACTTTTGCCTATTTACTCTAAATTAATTTCAAATGGAAGACTGGGGACAGTTTCATAAAAGGAATGAGCTGGAACCTGAAGGATGAATAAGAAAGAGAAGGCAAGAGGCAATGTTTCAGGCTAAGGAATAACACACGTAGAACTGAGAACACACAAGGTCCACATAATGACCTGGGAGTAGAATGACTCGAGCACAGACCTATTAAGACTATGATATAAAGAACTTTCAATAAACAGATGGGAAACCTGGAGGAGAAGCAGTTTGGAGAAGCCAGATTAATTTAGTTATGGACAGATTAAGAGTTGTCCATAAAACAATTCAAATAATGTTATCAAGTACGCAGTTGGAAATATAGGCTCAGGAAGAGGTGAGAGATCTAGATCTAGGAACCATCCCACATGCAGATCATGGTCAAAGCCACAGAATATGTACTTGTCACTAGTATTAAATGAGCCCCAGGCTACCAGACACTTAGGTTAAAACAACAAATCAAGGCAGAAGCAAATACAGTGATTAATAATTTTAAACTGCCTAAAAGCAATTCAATGAACTGTGTACATTAACTCTTCTGTTCAGAATAGATTTTCTTCCAAATATTGAAATTCTATATACATATACACACAAATACTGCAATTCAGGAGGGGAGTCTGCAGAGATCAGAATAATGCTGACACTTGTACTGCATTTTCACTTTACAACACCTCTCCACATGCGATCTCATTGTACCTCCCTGCAACAAGGTTGAGCTCAAAAAGCTCAATAGCATTATTCTCATTTTAGAGATGGAGAAACTGAGACTGAAAGAAAAAATGACCTGCTCAAGTGTCAGTAAGTGGTAGAATCCAGACCCTGAACACAGGTCGTCTGACTCCAAACCCAGCATTATTACATCTTGGTGATCAGAAGAATGGCTATGGCAAGAAGGTCTTGAACCTTTACGTACACGAACCTCTGTCTATAGACTCAATATTACTTTTAAAGTGTATAAGGACAGTTTTTGATTTTATAGTTTTAAGGCTTTTTTTCTGATTAAAAATCAATACATGTCATTGTAAAAAAAATTATAATTTCACAAAACTGTATAAATTGAAAGTGGCATCTCCCCATAATCTCAACTCTCAAGATATCTGCTACTAATAGTTTGGAGTGTATTCCACAAGAGCATTTTCTCTATTCATTTTATTAATGCACATGTAAGAGCTGTATAAATGTGTGTATGTATGCTTGAATATATTTCCATACTCTCAAATGTTTCTACTGGATCAATATTTAGAATCAGAACATTGGGTCACAGAGTAAACTTTAAATTTTAATAGCTATTGCCAAATTGCTTTCCAAAGAGGTTGTACCAGTTTCTACTGATATACAATGAGTGACTGACAAATTTGATTACTTAAAATGTAAAATTTCTACAAAAGACAAAAAACATCATAAACAAAGTTCGTGCAAAGGATAAACTGGACAAAATATGTCAAAGAGTTAATTCTTCTCATGAAAATTTCTTAAAAATAAAAAATTACAAATGAAAAATGAGCAAAGGCTATAAAAATAATTATAAATACAAATGGTCAAAAAACATACAAACTAACATTTAATCCCACTCAGTAAAGAAATCAAAATTAAACAAAAGCAATGTATTATTTTTTACCCATCAAACTGGCAAAAAAAAATCTGAAGACTCATATTATCTAGCAGAGCACAGAGACAGGGAAACAAGCCCTCTCACAGATTGCTGGAAGAGGAATAAACCAGCTCAGCTTGTGTAGGGCATTTTGCCCAGCTATGAACATTTTAATGTATAGGACCCTGACCCAGCAATTCCACATTTAGGAATGGATCCCATGTTAGTAACTATACAAGTGCACAACAATTCATTTACAGTAATGCTCAATGCAGTGTTGAAAATAACAATAAAAACTTGGAAACAGTCTAAATGTCTATCAATCAGAAATTAAATAAACTATGTTAAAACCATACAATGGAATATTTTGTAGCCATAAAAAATGATGCTATGATAGTTATTCTTTTTAGCATGGAGAAATACCCATGATATTAAAAAATATACAGACCAATCCCATTCATATATATGTATACAAGCCATAGGAAAAATTTCTTAAGATATATTTCAGGATATCAATAGTAGTTATATCTATATGGAGAAATTACAGATAATTTTTCATTATACATTTCTGTAATTGTTTTGAACAGTATACATGTGTTTACTTTCATATTAAGGAAAACATTACGAGTATTTTCATTTAAAGATTTTATTTATTTATTTTTTCCCCCCAAAGCCCCAGTAGATAGTTGTATGTCATAGCTACACATCCTTCTAGTTGCTGTATGTGGGACTCGGCCTCAGGATGGACGGAGAAGTGGTGCCTCGGTGCGCGCCCGGGATCCGAACCCGGGCCACCAGCATCAGAGCGCGCGCACTTAACCACCAAGCCACGGGGCCGGCCCAAGTATTTTCATTTAAAAAGAGACAGGAAACACTGAAAAGCTGGGAATCAGTGGGCCGGAATCAGATGCTGTTCTAAAACCTTTCACATTCTGAAATTCTACTTAATAATTAAGGAAATATTTATTCCAAGGCACTTTTTCCTCATTATTTATGAAAAACTTGCTCAAGATTTATTCTTTCCCTAGATCTTTTGAGGAGACTAAAATACAGGAAACATAATATTCCTCATTCACATGATATTTTGACTTTTTAAATAATAATGACGGCTGCATCTTGGGAGTACAGAGAAGGGGTAGAGAGAATAAAGAGATGATAACACCCCAAACTAGGTTAAACCTTTCTCAGATTTCAAAACTCCCAAAAAACATCAGCGCAAATCTCCAAATTTAGGTCCTAGAGCTAGAAATGGGGACTCACTGTTCTTAAAGATCTATGTATATAATATTATCCTATTGACACAGATTACTATTCTTGGATTATAACTGTAGGAAAGAAGTTAAAGCAAACACAGCAAGTTAGACTTACATTTAACTATCAGATGGAATAGATTACCTAAGCTTTACTCATCACATTTTTAAAAAAATGCTTATAAAAGCATATTCAAATGTGGTTTCAACTCTTATAGATCACATGTGGTAAAAAATAACAACAATTAAATAATTACCTCTCCTATGAAGACTACTATAACACAGTCCAACTTCTCTTCAGGATACAGATTATCAATAAGGGAATGAAGAGTTTCTATGAGGTAAGATTTAACTTCTCTCTTCACTGTGGGAATTCCCATTACTATTGAAACTGAAACAAAATAACGATAGTAATTATATAGAAAGATTTTACAAAGACAATATAGAAAAACACTACTATTTCAAAAGTATTATACCCTCTCAAATTGATAGAAATAATTGAGGGATCAAAATACACTACGTTTCAGAAAGAAAAATAATCAAAGGATACAAAGGCATACCCATAATCCTGTAATTCTTTTCCACATGGTTTATCCATAAGAAAAGAAATAATGTCACAGAACTGATAAAAACAAAAGACATTAAACCTCACATTAAAAATGAACGGCTGTAAAGGGTAAACAACAAATTTTATTATACAACTAAAACATAGAAACACTAAATACATCTTAAAAATTAATGTCTCACATGTAATGTATATGATGCACTGAGAAGAACACAACATCCCTTCTGTGGTTTTCTTGTCAAAAATGCGTAAACTCAATCTGACCATGAAGAAACATCAGACAAATCCAAATTAGGGGGATACTCCACAAAATAATTGGCCTATACTCTCTGAAGTGTCAAGATCAAGAAAGACAAAGAAAGAATGAGGAACTGTCCCAGATTGGAAAAGACTAAGGAGACATGACAATTAAATTAAATATGAGACACTGAGTTGCATCCTGGAACCAAAAAAAAAGAATAATGAAAAAATGACAAAATCTGAATAAGCTCTAAGGTTAATAGTATAGCATCAATGTCAATTTCCTTGTTTTGATCATTGTATTATAATTACATAAGATCTGAACATTTAGGGAAACTGGGTGAGGTATATGGAAACTGTGTGTACTACTCATGCAACTTTTTTTAAGTCTAAAATTACAGTCAGCTCTAGTATAATGCCTGTTTTGATTAATATATTACGGAAAAATTTGAGCACAATGTGGATTTCACATTTGCTTATGTGTAATTTCTCCTCTGAGACACTCACTAGGTGAATGCAGAAAATTGTATCCATTTGAACTGAGTTCAGAAAACTGAACTGAGCCATGTAGAAATACACAAAATGCACACACCTCCAACATTTACCAGCTGCCTCAGCTCACTGCACGCTATGAACCACACCTATCCACATCTGGTGTTACAACTTTCCACCAGATTTCAGATAACCTGCCTTGCATCACTTCACAGAAACTCCCAAGCAGCTCCCAAGCTGCCGCCCTTCTGAAGCCCATTTTAACAGGCAAACCTCAAGTCTTTTTCAAGGTCTAGTACCATAGTTACTGTAGCATTTATGTAATTCTCAATCATTTAAACAGGTGTAAAACTGTGCTACAATTTTTATTAGGCTCTTATCTTTTTTTTTATGTGTAACTGACAAAGTTTTTGACTGTTGTGATCCTAACTTCATTTTTCTCATTCTATTGCACGGCACAATAATTTTTAGGAACATGTATATTGTGTTACGTTAGGACTGTATTTCACAGTAAGTTTTTAACAATAATATCTTTTAAAAAGTCTTAGTATCCTAAGTGTTATATATCAGTAGAGAAATATTTTGCAAATGTTAGAAATAATTAAGTCTTGGGGCCGGCCCAGTGGCGTAGTGGTTGAGTTCACATGCTCTGCTTCGGCGGCCCAGTGTTCGTGGGTTCAGATCCTGGGCACGGACCTACACACTGCTCATCAAGCCATGCCATGGCAGCGTCCCACATACAAAACAGAGGAAGACTGGCATAGACGTTAGCTCAGGGCCAACCTTCCTCAGAAATAATAATAATAATAATAATAATAAAAAAGTCTGAATTACATAACAATGTATTGGAGATGCTACAAAATACTTAGAATTCATAGAATTCCAAAGCTAGAAGGAAGCTTAAAGATCATGGATTAACAAGTCTACCACCATGATTCTGCAGATAAGAATACTAAGGTCCAAACAGTTTAAGGAATTTCCCCAAGGTTCCATGCCATGTTCCTCTCTTCCATTTTGGGTTGAAAAGTTTTCAAGGGATCAAAAAGAGATTTGCTATATTTGTTCAGAACATATGTATTGAACACCTATTAAATGCAAGGCATTATTCTAGGTGCTAGGGATATAATAGTGAACAATATAGATAAAGTCTCTGCCTTCATGGAACTTACATTCTAGAAGAGGAGGAAAGATAAATAAATAATATAATCTTAGAGGGTGATATGTACTATACAAACTAAAATGTGGCAATATTAGAAAAAGTGGGGAGAAAGGGGGAGGGAGGGGCACCTCTATAGATAGCGCAGTTGTGGAAGGGCTCTTTGATATCAATTGAGCTGGTAATTAATGATAAGAAAGATCGGAGGAAGACCATTCCAGAAGAGGAAACAGCAATGCCCTGAAGAGAGAACGATCTTAAGATAGTCAAGAAATAGCAAGAACTATTTGGAATATATCTAAAGCAGAATGAGCCTAGATTCAGAGAATTAGTTAGGAATCAGATCACATATAACCTTAAATTTAGTTATAATTGTGAGTGGGAGAGAAAGCCATTGCAAAGTTGCAAGCAGAGGAGTGACAATATCCAATGTGTAATTTTAAAAGATTACCAAAATTTGTGGAGTACGGACACAAAGTGTTAAGAGGAAAAGCACTTTAGGGAGATCAGTTAGAAAGTTATTGTAGTAATTAAAGGAAAAGATGGTGGTTTGAATTAGGGTGTTTGAAGATGGAGACCAATGGATGGATTTGGGATAGATTTTGGAGACTCTCATCAGTGGGGCTTAAGACTGGGAGAGACAAGGGAAGAGGAGGAATGAGGATGACTTGAGTAAGTGAATGGGGGATCTTTTACTGAGAACAACACATTTGAGGGGGAAAGTGGTCCGAATCAAGATTTCTGTTTTGACCACGTTACTCTGAGATGCCTAGAGACAGGATGAGTTACCCCAGAAGCAAACACCCTGGAAGCATATACTTTAATCTACTTCAGAATTTAAATAAAAAATATTTTAAATATTTAGAATACAGACTTAAAATGTAACAACTATGATGTGAAGTATTCCTAAGAACTATTAACTCATATAGAGTTCAAAGACTTTGTTTATGGAAAAAGCAAAATATATCCTGACCCAGAGTATGTGAACAAAAATGGTATAAAGCAATAATTCAAATTCTCTATTCCCCACCATGGTCTTAGCTTGTTTTGTTTCTGTTTTGTTTTAAGTTTATATGGCATGTTTAGAGAAGCCATTTTTCCCAAAATACTGTTTTTGGGCTGAAATTTAAATTCTTTAGTTTAAACCAAGGCACTCAAAGACTCCAAAAGCATTAAAAATGAAAGTACTAATTTCAGCTAAATCTACAGAATTAGAGTATCCATGCTTGAGGTAATTCACAAAATATCACAAAAAAGACAGTTTTTCCTGCCTTCTGGGCACATGGTAAGACTGCACTTCCTGGTTCCCTTAGGGTTGGGGAAGGTAGGGGGAGGGGACAGACAATGAGTCAATCCCATGTGTAACTCACGGCTGAACACTTGTAACTACAGTGTGAAACCCTTCAGAGCTGTCTTTTCTCCTCAGCAGAGCAGCCAGTAACATTCAAGATGGCAAATGCTCTGTCAGCCAGGATCTCTAAGTGATCAATGATGCACAAAGCCCCATGCTAGCCCTGATGAACATGTACTTTGAGCAAAAAAAATGAAACTTTGTTACTTAAACTACTGCAATTTGGGGGTTGTTAGTTACCACAGCATAATTCAGCCAGCTCTGTTTGGCACAATGTTCTTCCATGGTTTACAATCTAGAAAATGTACATATTCTAAGGAGTTAGAGTTCAGAAGAAGTATGTCAACAACATAAAGAATACGGCTATATCGTCCTTTTAGAAGGAACAAGGTGGGCCAAGGATCCAAACAGAGACAGAGCCAAAGTGTTGGACTAAGTACTTTGTTCCACTGATTAAATGTCCAGTATCTCTTATTCAAGTATTAATCGTACATCTATAAAACAACTATTATGTACTAGACAATCTAAAGTACAGTCATAAGATAGGTAAGGCTGCTAACTCATGGTGTTTACAATTTGACAGAGCTTTCGACTGTTATTATTTCAGTTTTCTTCAACTCTCCTGGGAAGTTTCCAAATTCTAGTACTTATTTCCTTCAAAATCAAGAAAAATTTAGGGACAATCTCAACTTGATATTCTCAATATTCAATTACTCAGTCTACCTTCAATTAAAACTAAATTACTTTCTTTTTAAAATATTCATTGCTAGTCAAATATTTTTAGTCTATCACCCTTCCTTATGCTTTTAGTCACTTACTGCTCATTTCTTCCCTTATATTCTATGACAATATATTTTCTTCTCCTACTGTCTAGTTGCATCTTCTCTGTCTCTGTCTTCCTTGGGTTCCTCTTTCTCTTTCTTGAAAATGAACTGCTGGAGAACCTTCAAGGCTCAGTCCTAGGCCCAAGGTGACCTCATCCATCTCCGTATCTTCAACAACCAGTTACTTACAAACGATGACTCATAAAATTAAATCTAACTCAGATCTCTCCTTTGACTCCCAGATCTATGTATCCAACTGCCTCTCTTCCACTATAATATCTCAAAATCACCTCCTAACATATCCAAATATACTTTATGACCTTCTCTGAACACTAATGCTGCAAAACGTTCTCTATTCTCTCCTATCTCAGTGAATAGCACCCACCATCCATCCAGTTACATGATCCAGAAACCTAGGACTTATCCTTGACCACTCCGTGTACCTCAGTCCACAAAACAGTCCATCACTGTGTCCTCCCATATGTGTCCCCATACATTCCAAACAACTCAAATCCATCTTCTTTCCATCTCTACTACTATCACTACCTAGCCCAAGCTCATCCTCTCTCAAGCGGATGACTACAAGATCCTCTTATCAGGTCCTTTCACATCTACTCTTCTCACATCCTCAATCATTCCTCCCATTGCAGCAAATGTGGTCTTTGCAAGTTTTAAACCTTATAAAGTCATTCTTAATAATTCCTGCTTAAAACCCTTCATTATCTCTTTCTGCGTTTAGGATAAAAGCCCAAATCCTATAAATGCCCTGCAAGGCCCTGCACTGTCTTGCCCCAACACATCTCTAACCTCTTCTCGTACCATGCGTCCCCTCACTCTACACTTCAACTACAGTGGCCTTCTTTCATTTTCTAGAACATTCCATCCTCCCTTCCATCACAAGGCTTTTGTGGTGCTTGTCTCATTTTCTGAAATACTCTTTTCTCTCATGTGGTAGACACAATAGTGACCCCTCAAAGATGTCCATGCCCTAGTTCCTAGAACTTATGATTATATTACCTTCCATGGCAAAAGGGACTTTTCAGATGTGATTAAGGATCTTGAGATGGGAAGATGATCCTGGATTACCCAGGTAAGCCTAATGTACTCACAAGGGTCCTTATGAGAGGAAGGCAGGAAAGTCAGAGTGAGAGAAGGAGATGTGACAATGGAAGTAAGAGGGTGAGAGTCAGAGAGAGATTTGAAGATGCTATGCTTTGAAGATGAAAGAAGAGGCCACAAACTGAAGAATGTTGGTGGCCTCTAGAAGCTGGAAAAGGCAGGGAAACGGACTCTCCCCTAGAGCTTCCAGAAGGCACACCCCTGTCGACATACTGATGTTAGGACTTCTGACCTCCAAAACTATAAGATGATAAATCTGTATTGTTTTAAGTCACTGGGTTTGTGGTAATTTGTTATAGCAGCAATAGGAAACTAATACACCCATCTTTACCAGTAAACTATATATTCTACTGATCTCAGGTCAAAAGTATTTTTTTAAGACTTCCCTAAACTTCTTAATTAAGTCAAATGTCCCTTTTATTCATTCTCAAACCATCCTTTATATCACTAACAAAAGCTGTAGCTGTACAATTATTTATAAAATTGATTATGTGACTAATGCTTTCACCTTTAGTAGACTGCAGCTCCACAAGACTAGGAACCATGTCTAATTTTGTGTATGAAAGCACAAAGTGCCTGGCATATAGCAGGTGTTCATGGATTTTGTACTTCAGCAAATGCTTAAAGAATTACCTGCTGTCCTCTACCAATCAGTAATGCCATTTTGGTAGGTAACCTGTGCAGGGTCTTTTCTCAGAGCTCCTGCTCAGCACTGAGTGGGCCCTTAATCTGAAGACCTATGTGTTTCTTCAACTCAAAGAAATTTTCTCTTATTATTTATTTGATTATTTCCTCCAATCACTCCCTGTGTTCTCTCCTTCTGAAACTCCTATTAGGTAGATGTTAAAACTTTCGTCTACCCCAATTCTTTGTGCCCTTTATGCTGCATTCTGGAAGAACTACACAGCTAAGTCTTTCTGATCACTAATTTGATCTTCAGCTGTCTGCTCTGCTTATCAATCCATCTATATAGAAATTTTAACTATAATCATTGAAATAAAAACACAAAGACTTCTAATTGATCCTTTTATAATAGTCACTTAGGAGCTGTTCTCTCTCATCCCTCTAAAAATATATAAATTATGTTTTATTTTTGAATTATATTCTGCTTTCTCTACAAATTCAATTTTCTTGAGTATTAAGTTATTCAGATGATGATTTCCTTAAATATATGGTAACCCTAGTTGTATGAGATGCCCTTCTACCCATCTATAGTTGCTGTGTCTATTTACTGCAGCCTGCCCCTGTAAATTCTGTGGAGGATCTGGATGAGGTGTGAGTCAGGTAGGCTGGCAGTTTCTTCTTCTGGATGTAAGTATTCCAGCCCCTCTCTTGAGGGTCAGAGCTACCTCAAGCACTGTTCTTCCTTTTTAACCTCAGGAAGGCTTAGCTATCTGAGTGCTGTTCCTTAATTAATCAGCCTGACCGCTGAAGAGCAGAATTTTTAGCAAGCAGTAGTTTTCTCTGACCTAAAAAACAGATGTTCTTAATATAAAGTTCCTAGATAGGTTATTAGGGTTCCACAAAATCGCAGAAATGACATACAAAATTACTTTTTCTATGTGCATTTTTCTAAGTAGAAGCTTGACAGCTTTCCTAGGATATTCAAAGGGTTCTATGACTCTAAAAATGTTAAGGACCATTGCCTAAGGATTTAGGAAGGAAGATTATTAATGTAAATCTGAGGGTTTTCTTGGTTTTTTTCCAAGTTATCTGCTTTTTCTGCCTTTCAAAAATAGTGTCAGCTTAATAAGAACGTTAACTACTGAAAAGGTGGTTGACAAAGATTTTATTGTATTTATGATGGATAAAGTCATAAACAAGTGGGATGGAATAAGTATCTTCAAAGAAGAAAGAGAATGTCACATTCATAAAATAAGAACAGGCTAATATAAAAGAACCTATGAGAGACCTTGGAAGTTTTAAATGACTTCTACTTTCTTTTCTACTTTTCTACTTTTTACTTCTACTTTCTTTTCATTTGACTCTTATCAATGAAGATATAGTTTAAACCAACAAATGCACTAAATGGCTAAGGCATCTTACCCAAATAGTGAATTTTAAAGGGAGAGATACAATATCAACTTCTGAAATAATTAATGATCAATGTCCTAAAGAAAATAATTTAAAGTATGCTACATATCTTGTTAGTCTTTGTACATCCAGCACCTGCTGGATAAATAAATATTTCTTGATTCAATAAAGAAATGGAAGAATGAGTTAGTCTGAACACGATAATTCAAGAGTTATTACCTCCTTAGGAAGAGAGTGTATAATTTTAAATGATTCATAAAATAGAAAGATGGCAGAACTAAAAAAAGATGAATGCAAAAGACTAAAGTTATAGATCAAATAACATAATGACAAAAATGTGACCAAAAAAACAGTAAAATACCTAAGAAGCCTACTGAACTAAAAGCAGACTAAATCAGGTTTTCAAAAACATTAACACAAAGATTAATTTCAATATCTATGAAGTAATGATTTTGTCATTTGTTAAAGACTTACAGAGGAGCAAAATACTATTTTGGTCTCTATATTTTAAAACCTACAAACAAAAGATTAACAAAGTCAAAATGGAGGAATAAAAAGTATAAAAGAATGGTAAATAAGTACCACAAGGAAATTCAAGAGGCTCTGGTGGCTCTAACAAGAGGAGGAAAAACGCTAAATTATCCTTTAGGTATATTAGAAAAAAAAAAGCAAACCAAAATATTTTTATTATTGCATGAAAGGTTAAACATCAGTGACTCTATACTTATATCTCCATAAGAAAAAGTGGGAGCAGACATAAGAAAAACTTTCTTGACATGACTATGAGAGCTATTAATGTTGAAATAAGATACGAGGGAAAAAAAAGTCATCCTCTACCTCCCATATTTTTAAAATACAAAAATTACAAAAGTTTAAACATTTTTTTGCCTGGAGATGGGACCTGAACTAGATGTCTCATGATCCTTTTCAGCTCTATTACTCTGGTCTACGGAGAAAAATGTCCAACTCCTTTCAACGTGGACTTTAGAATGAGTCCTAAGTTAATATGCACAAAGAATTTTTATTCTTAGATCTGCCAGCTTCCAATGGTCAACATAATACTCCAAGACACAATTAAGACCAACAGTACAACCACAGTAAGAAACAAAATAAACATACCTCCTTTTCTTCCATTACCAATCTGCACAGCAGGTTGAAGGCTTCCTTCATTTTGCAACAAATGAGGCAAATGATGATAAATACTTGGCACTTGAAGAGATTTTTTGCTCGTTAACTCCTTTAATAGCTTTAGGGTATTATCTGAAACACAGAAGTGTAATCAATCCACAGGAACATATTACTTATAGAAGTTACTGATTTTACAAATATAGCAGTAAAAATTTATGAGAACTAGAACTGAAGAATTTTCTTTCCTAATTTCATACTTTGGTGAATGAGATTTCCATTTAAAATGAAAAAGACTTTTGCAACTCGAGTCTCACAGAGCCATTATGTTAATAACAGTCTGAATGAAGCTAAAAATAAAAAGGTCAGCCAAAGTACCAGGAGAAGGTGGAATGCTAATTACTCACCTTTATAATGTGTCAGAACTCAAGCCCTACGGAATAGACTCTAAACATGCTATCCATTTATGAAAATGTAATAATAATAAGTACATTGACCACCAATAACTTTGACTTTTTTATGCTATTACATTTTACCAAAATTTCACATGGAAGATTTTTTTTTTGTAATTCAAGTACAATAATTTAAACAGCACAAGTTGAGAATGTTCAGTACAGATCATAACTTTCAAATAGTTCTTCAGTTTTTATTAGAGGAACCAATGAATCTTTTAATATGAAATAAAAATTCGGTAAAAAAGCAATATTGTTTTAAAATTCCATTAAACTAGAACTTAATCTTTTAAATAAGAAAGTTAGTAGTAAGAACTTGCAGCCTCAATAACAATTTCATACAGAACAATATGAAAACTCCATTAAAAATGACAAGACCCAAAAAATCACAAAAGAAATGCAAATGACTGTCATACATGACATTAAAGTTTATCTCATGAATAAAGAAATATAAAGAAGTTATAAGACACTCATTTCCACCTATCAATTTAGCAGACTAAACAATAATATTAAATTTTGGTGATGATGTGATAAACGTTTCAGCTATTCAGAACAGCATCAAAAACCCTAAAACATTTCTGTCCTATTACTCAGTAATTCCTCTTTCAGGAATTTAACTTTTATGCATTCAATAAATATTTACTGATTATCTATTTTGTTCCAGCCACTGTGCCATGTGTTTGGAAATCAACAATCATCAAAACATAGATCCTTGTTTTTAAGAAAGTCATAATCTAATGAAAATAACTTAAGGACTAACAGAAATGTAACTGATTTATATACAAAGATGTTCTTCACAGAGTTAAAAATTGGGGGAAAAAACAACCCAGAAAAATCCTATTTGCCTAATTGTAGAAAAATATTTAATATATTATGGCATATGATTAGCTGACATACAGTCATTAAAAATAGTATTTTTAAAAAACATTCAATGACATAGTAAAATGCTAATAGTATAATTCCAAGAGTAAAACTAAGGCTATAACAGACAATCACAATTTTAAAGGAAAATATGCATGGAAAAAAGACTAGAAGGAAACAAAAAATGTTAATAGAAATCACCTGGCAGCAGACTTATGGGTGATTTATTTTTTTATTATCTATACCATTCTATAATTTTAAATGTTAATGTGCCGTAGTACAAATTTTATAATCAGCAAGGGAAGCAAGGAACGTGAAACTTTAAAAATAACATAAAGTAGTGAATCTCAAGATGAGAGGAATTAATGGTAAAGGATTAGAACAGGGGATGCTAAATGAAAATGTATATTAATCATGAAAGACTATGACAATCTGAAGGCAAATGATTATATACATATATCAATTTAATTATTAGAATAAGAATAGCACAGAAACAGAGAGAAGATGATTGGCATTCATCTGACTCTGACCAGAAGTTCTCAGCGAAGGAACAGGTCAGACATCCTCAAAAGTACCCGTTACAAAACTATGTATTTCTTTTCTTACAAGTCAGATTTAAGAGCACTAAATTGCTTCAAATAGCTCAGAGAATCTCCAGAGTCCATCTGAAGTCCACACAAGTTAGAACATAAACATATAAACACAAAGTTAAATTTTAATCTCATTTTGAATGTTTTTTAAAAGATGTCAGTTCTTCACTATTCTCAAGGAAATTTATACAATTGAAATTGAACTTATGATTACTCTCTTTAAATCAAATTTAGCAGTTAATAAAATTGTTTTATAATTTACCATAATAGAAAGTTTTGTTTGGAGATTTTTCTTTTTCAAAAGGGTAACAAATGCTGGTTGATAAGCTACTCTCTACAACTTTCAAATAAAATGTTTCACATAACCCTTTGAAAATATAATCTTTATAAAACCAAAAATATACTTTGTACCTGAAAATTTACTCACTGCATCCTTACTTCCATTTGTTTCTGCTCCTACACGCCTGAACTGCTGTACAATGGCATTTAATTCAGAAGAGCGCTGTGAGATTCTATGTTCAGCTATTCGAAGACGTTCTTTCAAAGCAAGAAATTCTCGTTGATAAGCAATCAGTTTTTCTAGAAACAAAATCAAAAGTTATTAGTATATTTCTAAAACAAAAAACACCAAACAACATAATCAAAACAGAACTGTAAGATTAGAAATTTTAAAGTCATTTTGTTTTTCAGAAACAGATATTCATTTATGTATTCACTGATACAGGAGTAAAAATAAACAAGAGCCCTGGCTAATTATATAACAAAGCCATCACTAACTTAGTGCTCTTAATATCTGTAAGAATGTGAGCAATTTCTACTTAGCACTTCAAAAATTTAAAGATGGGGAGAAAAAGACAAAAGTTTTTAGAATTAACACTTCAAGCATAATACTAACATCATTTCTCAAAAGGTGCTATAAAGACCATATTTGTATGAAGAAGACAGATGAGGCATTGAAACTGATGATAATATATCTATTAATATAATTAATATAACACTTTATAGCATAATCATTAATTTCCATAGGATAAAAGTTTCCTACTGTACTTCACATTCTGCAAAGATTTTCCTAGGCCAGACATTGATCAAATGCCTGATCCCTAAAAACTCAATCAGGTAAATGTAAGATGAATCACAGGTCAGGAAAACCTGGTCTGAGAAATAAAAGTGTATTTTTACAAGGATAAATGTAGGCAGTGAAACAATAGTATGAGACAGCTCAGATACAAAGCACACAGTGAGAAGAGACCCAAGGACAGAACTGGACACCAAAATCTAAGAGATGGTAGAAGAGAAACCATTCATTTATCTTGCTCAGCAGTGCTGAAAGGCAGCTGAGGCTGTGGGAGAAGAATGAGCAATTTCCACCACCTCATTAAACTAAGAGAAATCAGAACAATGGTTTTCAACTTCTGATAAGCTAGATAAGCTAAGGCTACTATTTTGATATCTACACTTGACACTTGACATCTACACCTTAGAAAGACTATTTTTTATTTAATATTATCATATCTGCTTTATTCAAGGATAGACTCAATAAGAAACAGACCTATGAAAAATAAAACTGCATGTTTCATAAAGCTAGTCTTAAAAACAGTCAATTATACTGTTCCCTGTCTGTTACATAAAGGCCCACACAGTAAATACCTCTTAAGAATTCTGTGGCAGGAAAAAAAAGTCTCTCCTGCTTAACTGACATGCTTCCCTATACTGAATAATGTAAGCAGCTGTATTTCCCTTCGTTTGGCTTTAGGAAGCAGGAAAGGAGAAAGAGGGCCGCGATTAGGAAAGGGCATAACGGGGAGCTTCAAGGTGCCAGCAAAGGTTCTATTTATTGACCTGGGTGGTTAAATCAAATTCACTACTATACATTCATGGTTTAGGCACTTTTCTGTAAATATAAATTCACAATAAAAGAAATGTTAAAAAGACACTATTCACAAACATAAAACTATAAATAATTATACTATAACAAAAACTATAACAATTATAACAAGAGACACAAGATTTATGTGATGAATAAATAAATTTCTGAAGCCTATAATGGAAGAATAAATGAAGTCAACTCAATCCTAAGTGGGAAGACTCAATTTTGTAAAAAAATAAATTCTATCCTAAGCTAAATAATAAATTCAATTCAACACCTTTCAAGATAACAATGACATTTTTTTGGACGTTGACTTTTGATATGTGATTCTAAAATTCATCTAGAAGAGAGAATGTTTTTAAAGGGCCCTCCAAAATCTAGAACTAATAATGGGAAACTTGTTCCGAGATCAGAACATACTATAAGGCTACTGAAATTAAAACAGTGTGGACTTCCAGGTCCAGATACTGTGGACAAAGGACAATTATGCCAAGCAGACAGTGTCCAAAATTGGCATGAATGAACTGTCCTCTGAGTTCTTCCCTTTTTAAGTGAGCAACGTCAGAATCCTTCTCTTAACGCTTACACAGTGCCGAGACAGGGGTTTCTAAACATCTGCCACTAAAAAGAATTAGAACTCTTTGGAGAAATAAAGATGACCCCAAGTATTCTTGTGTCAAGTAAGAAAACATTATTTTTAAAAGGACAGGACATGTCAAAAGGGCACAGGAAGCTACTTGAGGGGCTCCCACTGGCCGAATTCAGGACAAGTGAAGTACCAAAACAAATACTGATGGTAACGGATTATAACCCATTGAACAAAATAAAAATCCATGAGTCCATATCAACAATAAATAAAAATTAACAGATGAGAGAAAAGTGTTTCCTACAGTGGAATGCCAACTTATAAATGTAGAAGGAATGATGAATGTTGGAAAATCACCGTTTTGCAACTATCATAGCAATAACTAATTCAGGCAAGAACCAAAAATGGATGCTAAAACTAATAGGTGAAAGTTTGCTGAGGAACAGGCTATGTATATCATCTCAGAGTATCTCCCCACAAAGTACTTATTAATTTACAAGGGGAAAAATGCTAATTTTACCGTGGAGAAAGCTGGTAGATATCATCTTAATCAAGTCATCAAAGTTCTCATCAGCAATAATGGAATAGACATCATGTGCCTCCTGATGTGATGCATAGAGGACACACCTCATTTCTGTGGTATTCCTGCCAAAAATGCATAATCTGAACCTAATCTCATGGAAACATCAGATACATCCAAACTGATGGACAATGTACAAAACAAAAAGCTTGTACTGTAAAAAAAATGTCAAGGTCATCAAAGACAAAGCCTTAGGCAATGCCCCAGATTAAGGGACTAAAGGAGATACGACAACTAAATGCAAAGCACAATCCTGGGTTGGATCCTGGACCAGAAAACATAAATGCTATAAAGAACATTACCGGGCTCCAGCCCCGTGGCGTAGCAGTTAAGTGCGCATGCTCCGCTGCTGGCGGTCCGGGTTCAGATCCCGGGCGCACACCAAGGCACCACTTGTCAGGCCATGCTGTGGCGGCGTCCCATATAAAGTAGAGGAAGATGGGCACAGATGTTAGCTCACGGCCAGTCTTCCTCAGCAAAAAGAGGAGGATTGGCATGGATGTTAGCTCAGGGCCGATCTTCCTCACACACACACACAAAAAAGAACATTACTGGAAAAAATAATATACAGAATATAGACTATAAAGTAGATAACATTGTGCCAATGTTAAATTTCCTAAATTTGACACTTGTATTGATAATTGTAGAGATAATGTAAGAGAATTCCTTGTTCTTAGGAAATAAACATTAAATTATTTAGGGATAAAAAGACATGATTTCTGTAATTACTCTCAAATGGTTCTGAAAAGAAACTATCTACAGACAGAAAGATGATAGAGGCAAAATGTTCACAATAGGTGAAATGTACAGAGAAGTGATTTATACTATCCTGCTAACTCCTCATTTCTTCTTTTGAAACTTTATAAAAAAGTAAGCAGGAGGATTGAATGGATACAGGTTCAGTTTTTCAGCAGCTCTTGAGTGGTAGCGAGGGATATGGATCTAGGGCAGTCTCTGTCCCTACATGCATTTTCTCGGTACTTTTTGAAACCACCTTCCCAGAGGTCAGCTTCACCAAGTAGGGACGGTAACCAGTACCATGGAGAAATACCCTTACCCCTAATTCCAAAATGCTCCTCTGCTTTGAGATGAACTGGCTATGCTTTTGAAAAGATCCCACTGGACTGCCTGACGAAGTCATAAGTATTTTCTTTCAGGCCCAGATGCTATTACTGCTCTTAGTTCAAAGCCCATAGCTCTGCAAGGGCTCAAAGTGGGTCATTTCCTATCCCTCTCACATCGTCCTTTGTTTCTAACTCCATTCTTCGGTGTTAAAAGAGATCTCTCCATGACATCAGAGCAAGTCCCTACTCCATCTAAAAAGCCAAGTCAGTGAAAAAGACTATCTGTGGTAAAGCCCTCAGCTAGTCCTGCTAAGAATACCACAGAACACTGTTGTCTCTTCAAAGTAGAAGGGAGTTACATATGATCTTCCCAAGGCCCTCCTTTGCAGTCTATCCTCCATCATCTACCCAAACATAGGGTTACTAGTGACTTCCAGAATTTTCTCCATTTATATTTCCCATAGTATTATACTGCTCTTGAGGAGAGTGGTGTATCAGCTCCCAGAAGTTTAAACTTTAACATAATAGACAAAATACTCCTTCAAATTAGTGATATATGTTTGACAATTTCCTATTTTTAACATTAGCAGCAAAAGTCTTATTTTTGCTCTTCTTTGAATCATTTCATTCAGTTTCTGTGGGGGACATGGCAGAAAACTGTGAGGGAATTCTCACACTATCATCTTATTGGGAAGTGCCTGGTTTTGTTTATTGTTTTGTTTTTCATTGGAGCTAGAATCTAACTTTTTTTAATTGTAGAAAACTATATATCCAGATTAGACAATGAAAGTACAAATCATGTTCTATGAACCTAAGATTATGAAACATACAAAATTTCCAAAGAACCCACTTTAATTCCTTCAAATCAAATAATCAAGTCAGTTTTCAGTAAAAAGGGTATCTTTAGGCTTTCAAAGACATATTAGGTTGAACCATATGAAATTGCTGATATTTGATCATTTTTATGGTTCAACATGTGAAAAAGTTCAACAATTTAAATAACAGCTTTGGACTCAACAATTTAATTTTAAAATGTGTAAATAATACAGATGAAAAATTAACACAAACAAAAAGGCACTAATAACTAACACCCAATGTGCAGCACATAAAAACAAGAACAGAAAACTTCATTTTTCCAACAACAGTACCTTCTTTCTTACTAACAAGATGTGAGGAATACTACTGAATTCTATGAGCTAACATTAAAAATTGGCTTTTTATGTTGAAATTAAAATTACCAAAAATTAAACCCACTTTTAAATTTAATTTAATGTTTATTAAACAATACAATTCTGGCATTAGAGAGAACAGCGATAGGCCATCTGGTCCGTCCCTCTATGCCTTAGTACTTCACTGAACTATTTCACACAAATAAATTTTTTTATAAAATAAGACTGAGGAACTCCCTCAGTAATAGATTCCAAAATTCAACAAGCTTGACTTTTCAGGAAATTATTGCCCTTGAAAAACATTTTATTTCAC